GACACAGCTGGGAACAAGACTCGAGGCCTCTAGGCGTATTCACGTTAGTCGCCATCTCCACGGCTCTTGAGAATCAGCTCAAATTTTAAAATGAGGGAGTGTGTGACTCTGTGAACTGCGGGTGTGGTTTTGTACTTGTATGATATATGAAAGGAGTAATTGTGCTTTGGGGCAGTTAAGGGCTCATAGGCTATGGGTTTGGATATTTTCATTGAGTGTCTTGAGTGAAATTTCACTGAGCGGACTCATTGTCTAACTTTCCGGAGAACTGGGATGCTTAGTGGGGGTTATATTTTGGTTTCCCATTGCAAGAGATGTATTGAGACCCATGTTTTGGCTGTTTTGTTCTTGTGATATTAGAGAGGCTGCTCTAGATATATTTCCAAACTCACCTGGGGATATTGGTGCTCTGTGAAACATTTTCTTTTCATAGCCGCGAGTGTTTAATAATATATGTAATTAATATACATAAGTTTATGTATATATATAATTTTTATATATTATATATAGTTTAAATAGTAATATATAATATAAAAATTTAAGTAATATATCATTTAATATTAAATATATTAAATTTAATATTAAATATATTAAATAATAATATCTATTATTATTTAAACTTTTAAGTTCAGGAGTACACGTGCAGGTTTGTTACATAAGTGAACTTGTATCACGGGAGTTTGTTGTACAGATTATTTCATTGCCCAGGTATTAAGCCTACTATTTATTAGTTATTTTTCCTGATCCTCTCCCTCCTCTCACCCTCTGCCCTGTGAAAGGCCCCAGTGTCTGTTGTTCCCCCTCTATGTGTAGGAAAATCTTTAACTGGCTGGAAAGCGATGAGGATGTGGTGAATCTTCCTTATATGGATTTCACTGTGCAGAAGGGCAAAGCTCTTTTGCCTTCTTGATATGTAAGGCAATAAAAAATATACTGATACAGTTTGTTCTATTGATTTGGAGATGCCTTTTTATGAGGGGAGAGAAGCAGCTTTTCTTGACCGGAGATGGGACTAACCCTACTGTTATATTAGAAGCATCTTTCTTCAAGGTGAATAGCTGTCAGCGACCTGGCAGCAGGTATAGCTCTCTAACTCAAGGGGATGAAGGACGATTGAGCTTTAGGCAGCCATTGAAAGACTTGCTAGTTTTGAAATAACTTGGTAGAGGGAGTGATTAAGAATGAAGATTTCAGTAAGAAACCCTGGCTGTCATTCATTCCAGCCTCAGGACATGTACAGTGCTAGCTCAGAGTGTTCTGGTTGCTTACCCTGTATCCATTGCCCATCCTGCTTTACTCACTGAGTTTTTTGAAGGCATCAATACTCCTAGCTGAAAAAAACAACAACCTACATTTCCAAATCTCTTTTGACTTAGGGGAGTTAATGTGATAAAATTTTGGCCAATGATGCATAAACTAGTGTGGGGTTTCTGAAAACACTTGTTTTCTGCTACAGATGCTCAGCTTTTTGGCTTTTCCATTCTCCCCTTCTTTATGTCTACAATGTGGACATGATATTTGGATGCTAGGGATAATGAGTGAAACCCCACACAAAGATAGTGTCCCTGAAATCTCTGAGCTGCTGCACTAGTGACAGCAGCTGCTATCTTCAGACTTTGTAATTGATAGTGTTAAACTTACGTGTCTAAATCATGGAAAACAGATCTCTGTTACTTGCAGACAAAGCCAATTCTAACTGCCACAAATACCTTCAGGGATGAGGGAGAAAACAGGCAGAGGATCCATCTTGGGCATTGGAGTCCTAGAGCATTCCTTCAGGACATGACTGTGCAGAGATTTTCTGCTGACCTTGGAAGCCTTTGCTCAGGAGGTACAGGAACAGTGAGAGTGCATTATGCAGGCCAACTGGCACAGTCTGTCCATGTGTTCACAATATGCCTTGAACATTGCCCCTTTCTCTATTTAAACCTAATTGTTTGTCCCCCTGAGAACTAGTTTTGTTTAAATTATAGCTGACTATTCTAGGTCTATTAAATAGTGACATTATGTCTAATGGACCTTGACTTTACTCTTTTTCTTATTATATGGGAACAGGTGGGAGAGGGAGGATGTTGAATACGACAATGCATTTCATTACTATTTAATTGATTCATTCATCAAGTAATTATTTAGTGCCCACTATATACCAGACACTGTGTTAAGTTTTGGAGATGCAATGAGGAACATGATAGACAGTGTCTCTGTTGTATGGTCTAGACTTGGGACAATATTTTACTCTATTAAATGCTTGCTATGAGCTAGGCATTGTATTGGGTACACTGTACACATCATCTAATATAATATTCATGCCAAACCTGTGAGATTAGTTATAGTAGTCTTTTGGAGGTTTAAAATAAAAATGAATATCAGACTAATTTTATGAATATGTTACTATGGCTAGAAGGTGGGGAAATTGGAATTCTACCTGACTTCAAGTTTATAATCTCGACCAATTTGGAAATCCCCAATGACTCTGTCTCTGTTAAGGAATATATGAACCCCACATGCCCTAGTACTGGCTTAATGAGTGGCAGGAATAAAGGTGGAGATGGGCTCTAAGGGGGTGGAAAGAGACTTCCTTTACAGAGAAGACATCATGAAGGAAGGTATCAGGGTATGCGAGTGCATGCTGTGTTCAATTCATGGCAAGGTGAGAGATGTGTTGCAAACAATGTGATGGTTGTCTCTCTCTGTGTTGCCTAGGGAACAGCTTGGGTGTCTTTCTGCTATTCTGTTGAGACAGTTGGAGCAAAGGGCCATTTTGTTCCTGTGGTTTCTGCAACTTTCTGCAGGAGATGTGAACCAACTGGCTAGGCTTGATAGGGAACATGGTATCCTGGAGCCTACGAGATAGGTGAAGACTGGGACAAAGAGTTGGGTAAGGCCAAAGCAAGAAGAGGTCAGGAGGACTAGTCATACAATGGTTTGAGGCATCCCATACCAAGAAAAGATGTGTGTTCCAGACCAGCTCTGGCTTGGTAATCAGACTGAGGTCAGAAAAAGTCAGATGGCAGAATCTGGGTCAGTGTCCCACAGGAGCATAGAGCAGATTCTTACTGTCTCATATGGTACAGCATGAGTCATTCCCAACCAGGCCCACTTCTGAGGCATCTATTCTAGGCCTTAAAGAGTTGGACATTTTAAGGCCTTGCTGCTCTCCTAGAATGGATCCTGCATTCTTTGTATTTTCTCAGAGACTCTCATTTTTCATGTCCTACAATATATTTAAATCTTAGAGCAAATTGGGACTCACTCATTTGGTTTACCCTCTAGGCTGGGTGAAAACTCACTCACTGGAGTCCTCGAATACATTTTTAAAAGGAATTTAGACACTATCTCTCCCACCCTCAAGAATCGGGGATCTTGACCCAGACTTTTTAACTAATGACATTAATTTGTGATCTAGATGACCACCACAGAGCAACCTCTTGTGGATATAGCACAGTTTTTCTCTGAGCACAGCTCACTTCCCTGGATGGAGATTACACCAGTAGTTCTGATCCCAGGGCATACTACATTAACTGAGCTGATCTATTTAGCACTGGCACCACAACAGAATCAAAGGTAAGGGCTAAAGAATGCTGCCAGCCATCTGGGCACAAATAGAGTCTTTACCATCTTTATGATTGGCACATCAGAGAGGGTTGATGTTTTTCCTTGACTTTTCTAGGAAAGCTCATCCACCATGACGTTTTGATGATCTGGGCCAGCTGTAAGAAAAGCAGCTGCTTTACTCCAAAAGGGGTATTGGAAGAGTGATTATATGTTCCTGTGATCCTTTGAAAATGAGGAAGGGCATAATTTTTAATAGAGCTAAACTTTTAAAAACTCAAATTTGAAAAATCATCTGTAATATCTTTTCTCCTACAGAGACCCTAGAGAACATTCTTTTAAGAAATAGCCTGTTACATCTTTATCAGTTTGTTACTCACCTTTTATTGTACAGATAATCTCTTAGGTGACTATGAAAAACCTCCCAGCATTTTTCCTTTTATGTAGACTATCATTGAGATAATACTTCTTCTAGGTTTTCGTCCTATTTGGAAATGGTTATCATTCATCTCCAGATGTTTTGAGATAATGTATTTCCTTTTTCCATTTTCTATTTTTTTAAGAAGTATTTCCTCTTATTCTGTATAATTTAGCAAATTAAATAACATCTTTCCTTATGCTTCCTTTTTCTAGTTTAAGTCTTTGCTATCTCTTTTTAAAATCTCTTTTCAATGCCTTCTTAATGATATTGAAATTTTGGAGGTGATTCTCAATTATGTTCTCTTATCACATTAAAGCATATACATATATTTCAAGGGCACAGGAAGTTATTGTGGGCTATTTTTAAATATGCTTTAATTTTCCTGATTTCTATTAAAATATTTAAAATATAATCTTTCATTTCTCTAAAGTCTTAGAAAATGCTGATTCAATGCTAGGTAAATGTTTACTTTTCTTAGGAGTAAAATAATGAGTAATTTCTTTTGAATTTTAAGGTATTCATCCACTCCTTATATTTTTACCCCAAATCTATTTTGTTGCTTATTGAAAAAAAATTGCATTTCTAATCTGTGAATATAGTTTTTTCTTCAAGATGATAGTAGTTTGGGTGGAAAATTTCTGAGGAAAGGTCTCTCAGGGAAAGTTTTATTAAATTCATCAGACATTTGCTAAGCACTCACTGTGGTCTGTTCCTAGCTTTTGGTAAGACAATCAAGATGAATAAGACTACATTCTTTTCCTGAGGTTGGTTATAGAGATACATAACCAGAGTAAGATACAAGTTATGGGAGAATATGGGATGAAGGTTAATTTTAACTGAAGAAATCACAGAAGGTGGCGTTTAAAAGGCTGAGAGAACTATGATGGATAGGGAAGGAGAGAGAGGACATTTGGTCAGAGAGAGTAAGAGCATAAGGTTAAGGAATTATGCAAAAGACGAGGGAGTGAAACAGCCATATATGCAGTAGTGCTGGAGTGCAGGGCATGATGGGAGATAAATTTGGGAGAGCAGGTGGGCCAGATTCTGTGAGACACTGAATATCATGTTAAAGAGATTGCATTTCTTAAAATTAAAAAAAAAATTTTAGAATAGAGATGAGTTCTCACTGTGTTGCCTAGGCTGGTCTCAAACTCCTGGGTTCAAGCAGTCCTCCCACCTCAGCCTCCCACAGTGCTGGTATTACAGGTGTGTGCTATTACACTCACCGAAGAGACTATTTTAATCTGTATTCAGTAAGGAACTGTGGAAGGATTTGAGCAGGAAAATGATTTGGTCCTTCTGAGGTATTGTAGAAAATGGGTTAAATCAAGCTGAGGTCAAAACCTGAGACATCAGATTAAAAAATGATTGCAAAGAGAAAGATGTAGAGAAGTAGCATTTATGACAGTTTTTACTGTGTTCCCAAAATGGCAGTGCGTATGCCATAGCCTTCATTATGGGAAGGTACATACAAGGAGGTAGCTTTTTTCCCCTCATAAAGTGAAAGCGAGATTATTAAGAAAGTAAAGAAATAAAAGAATGGCTACTTCATAGCCAGAGTAGCAGCTTGACTAAGGATATTTTTTCTAACTTCTTGATTATATGCCAAACAAGGGGTGGATTTTTCATGAGTTTTTCAGGAAAGGGGCGGGCAGTTCCCAGAACTAAGTGTTCCTCCCCCTTTTTGACCATATAGGGTAACTTCCTGATATTGCCATGCATCTGTAAACTGTCACAGAACTGGTGGGAGTATCTTTTAGCTTGCTAATGCATTATAATTATTGCAAAATGAGGAGTAAGGAAGACCAGAGGTCACTCTTGTTGGCATCTTGGTTTTGGTAGGTTTTGTCTGGCTTTTTTACTGCAACCTGTTGTATCAGCAAGTTCTTTATGACCTTTATCTTGTGCTGACCTCCTATCTCATCCTGTGACTTAGAATACTGAAACTACTGGGAATGCAGCCCTTCAGGTCTCAGCCTTATTTCACCCAGCCCCTATTCAAGATGGAGTTGTTCTGGTTCAAACACCTCTGACATACTCCCTTACTCCCTTTTATGAGAGAACACTTAACACTAAGGGTTGCAGGAGGATGAAGACCCATCTTCTGTAACTTCTTCAGGCGGAATAGGAGTGGAGTGATGATATTCCTGCCTATTTATTAGGGTTCTTTGTATTAAGGATAGAGACAAACTCAGTCAGAAAGCATCAGTATGGTAAGGGCCGCTCATAACTCTGACAAAAGATAATACCTGGAAGATTAATAAGTGTTCAATTTAAGAAAACATTCAGTAAGCTTATCCTGCATTTCTACACAAAGAATACAATTACAAATGCATTTCATAAGAGTAAAACAAAATAAACAAAATTACCTCCAAATAAACCAAATTAGAAGGCTTTCCATGAAGTGAGCAACTGTTGGACCCAAGCTGATAAGGGGCTGCTAGCTGATTCCAATATGTGCCCAGAATTAGTGTATTGATCCGGATTTTTTTACATTACCCATCCTCTTGTTTCTTCTGAGCTGCAGCCAGAGATCACTGATTGGTTTATAGGCATAAGCAGGGTGAGTCTAAATTGCAGGAGAAAAGCCTAAAAAAAGCTTAAAATGAGACCAGAATCTAATAGCAAGTGTACCATAGTTCTTGAAACGTAATTTTCTTCTCCCTGCAGTTTTGCATTTTTACTGAAGACAAATCATGGTAAGACCAATTTGCTTTGTTATACTTGGCTTGATTATTTGTATAAAGAACAACAAGAATAATTATCTTTTTACATAGGCTTTTAAAATTGGCTTTGATGGAACTTTGTTCTATAAGGAATCTCAGATAAAACTTTTAAAATCCAAGCTCAGCCATAAGTTTGTACCCTTAAATACCTATGAACTGAGTAAATTCCTTTTTTCTTGAGATCCTAAGGTTACATGAGGCTCCTGGGCCTATCAGAAAGTAACATTCTTTACTTCCCACCAATCAGGAACCCTGTACAAGGACTGTGTTGTAGGGCGGAGATCCCATAAGTGCCAAGGCAGGAGCCAGAAGCCTTAGCCTATTTCCATGTAAATAATGAAGAATAAAGTAACAGAAATATAACTGTAGTAGTTAGTTATTCATAGGAGATCTTAGTTATTCATAGGTGATCCTAATTCTTTTACTAATGCCTCTCAGGTCGCAAGTGTGAACCTGGGGTGACATTGTGAAAGAAATGACCCTGAGGTAAGATGCTTTAAGCCCTCTGTCATGCCCGTGCAAGGGCTGTTGGAGGACACTTCAGCTGTGCAGTAGTGGCAGCGCTAGGAAAGCGCCCGCTGTTTAGCCAGCTAGGGAAGGAGACATCCAAGATGGCTGAGACGTCTCCTTCCTCGGAGGAGTGAGGAGAAAACTCCGCTCCTCCAAGCTCTTGCGGACGCCTGACAGCTGTCAGGTAGACCCACAGACATCCGGGGGCTTAATTGTCTCCATGTGGTGCTGTGCTTCAGTGGTCACATTCCGTGCCCACTCTCAGGTTCCACTTCTGCACCTGGTTGCTTTTTTCTTAGAAGAGATAATCAGTAAAACTAATATAAATCTTAATGTCTTTGTTCTTTCTTGACAAGTATGGAAAAGCACTGATGCATTATGCTCTTTGCCTCATCTTGGCTACTAGAAAGTCTTGGGCCCCTACCTATATGACACATGATGTGCTTGACCCTATCACTGACCACCAATGCCATGCCCTACCTACTCTGCCCCCAGCTTTGCACCACGTCCTACATACCCTGCCCCCAGCTTTGCACCACGTCCTAAGTACCCTGCCTCCAGCTTTGCACCACGCCCTGCATACCCTGCCCCCAGCTTTGCACCACGTCCTAAGTACCCTGCTCCCAGCTTTGTACTCAATAAAAGTCAGTGTGCAGACACTCGGGGCCACTGCTGGACTCTGTGCTCTGGTTGGCAGTGGACCCCTGGGCCCAAACTGTCTTTTCTCTATCTCTGTGTCTTGTGCCTTTTATTTCTGCAGTTTCTTGTTTCCACACTAGCAAAGAGGGGCTCAAAGGACCCTGTAGGGCTGGACCCTACACTGTGTAGGTAAGGTATGAAGCCAGTTTTCCCAAGGGGCTTTTATTGGCTCTGTAAGTCAGGTTTGACTTCTTAAAGGAAAGCTTGCCATTCCAGTCAAATCCTTGTAAAATAACCAGTTTTTAAAGGAGGCTGTTTGAACACAAACTTAGTCATGCTAAATGTGGCAGATACCACTAATTTCCTTCTATTTCAGTGTTCAAAGAGCACTGGGCTTCCTAGGCCCTTGAAGTTAGGCTTGGCTGTCATTTCCAGCTAGAAGCACATAAGAACTGGTACATATTTATCTGTTTTCTTCCCTGCCACTCCACTGATGCAAATATATGTGGATATAGAAGGGCCACAAAAACAAAATGGCCTATAATTCTGAGCTAGCACATGGAAGGTAGAACCTTTGAGTCATCCTGACCTGCCGTGAACTTTGAGTACACAGAAGTAAATTTTGCTGCATTAAATATCTGAGATTTTGGTGGTTGTTCCTGAAGCATAACTTGGTAAACCAGGCCTATCTAATTAAGCTTTCTATAATGATGGGAATGTTCTGTATATGCACTGTCCAGTATGGTAGCCACTAGCCTCATATGACTATTGAGCACTTTAGGTGTGGCTAGTATGATTGAGGAACAGAATGTTTAATTTTATTTAGTCTCAGTTAAATTAAATTTAAATAGGCATTGTAAACCTAAAAGTGACTGAGTCAGGTCTCAGTTGATTAGAGGTTTACTTAGCCAAGGTTGAAGACTCACCAGGGGAAAAACATGAATCACAGGAACTTCTGTCATCTATGCTTTTTCCAAAGGGGATTTTGTGAACTTTGGTATTTAAAGAAAGAGCAAGCAGAGTGTGTGTGGGGCGGGTGGGGGGGGTGGGTAGGTGAGGGGGAATGGAAGGAGGGTAGTCAGTGAGGGAGATGGTTATATTCTTGTGAGACTCTGATTAGCCTCAGTAAACCTACATTTTATATGTGAAAAGAGGGTGTAGGAGAAGCAGGGCTATGATATGGGTTGCGAAATTACAGCTATCTGGGAGTAAAAGGAAAACAGCATGGGTGACAGTTTCCAAGCTTAGCTTTCCGTTTGGCATAGTGAGTCTGGGGTCCTGAGATTCTATATATCTTTCACAGTATCCTGACTGATGCTTTAAAAGATTTCTTTAACATCTTGTGAAAATATGCCAAAACCCTTTGCAACTGGACAGAAAATAGAGGACATGAGGAAACATTGAACCAAAGTGAATTCGTAGAAGGGAGCTTTTAGTTATGAAGATGATATGTCTTTCATCTAAATTAAGGATAATACTTCATTGAAAAAGCAATTGTGCTGTGCAGTTTTAGCACCAGGTAGGTAAAAATGATATTAAAGAAAAAAATCTACTAAAAAAACACAAACCTTGTGTCCCTACTGCATAACAGGTATAATGTTAGGTCCTTAAGTTTTATTGACTTATGTATTTGTTCACCAAATTTTTGTTGAATGCCTGCTGTGTACCAGGGATATAATAGGGTCCACAGGCCCTGGCGGATACACTAGTGAACAAAACAGACAAAAATATCTGCCATTTTGGAGCATATATTCTAGGCAGGTTGAGAGACCATAAGCAAATGTATTAAAATGATGTCAGAGAGTGATAAATGTCATGAATAATGACAGCTAGCACTTATTGATCACTTCCATGTGCCAGGAACTGGTCTGTTTTGTATATATTTATCCATTTTCATTTACTCCTTCTAATAACCCTAAGAGACAGGAATTATTATCATCACTATTTTTTAATAAGGAAATTAAGACTCAGGGAGATTAAGAATTATACAAAATGTGTGTCCTTTGGGAATTCCTGTGTGAGGAGACAAACAATGAGCCATTCTGTTGATAAATACTGTACTATGTAGGCAAAATGGTCCCAGGTATGTTGGGGGACAAAATAAAGCAGGGTCAGCTCTGCTTGGGGGAAGATGTAAAGAGGAGGTGAATGGAGCTGAACGCTGGAGGAAGAGAGGGTGTTGTCAGGGAGACAAAGGAGGGGTGAGAGTAAGTGTTCCAGTTAGAGGGCGTGCCTGTTGCAAACTGTGCTAAGACACAGTTCCATGTGGGAAGATGCTAGACACCCAGGAAGCAGCCAGAATGTGGAGTGTGCTGTGCCTAAGGCGTCTGACCATCGGGAAAACTCAAACTATATAAAAGTGAGGAGAGACAGATGCAACCATTTTCCTATCAGATTAGTAGAGAGTTCTTACTGAAAGGTAGTCATTTCCTTCCAGAAAACCTCTTTTTTAAGTTCTGAAAATGAACTCTCTAACAAGGCTAGGTGAGATAGAAGGCAGACCCAGTGGGTTCCTTGGGGCAGAGGACTCAGCAGGGTCAGAAAGGCTGAAGCTGAGGCTGTTAGGGTAGAATTGCTCCCTCTGAGGACATCAGATGCTGTCAGTGGGGAAACTTCTTGTTAGATGAAGACTCAGCACGCATGAATATTTTGAGTGTTACATCAGTTAGTTATATTTTAAAAGTCTTTAAATAAATGTGGCTTACAAAGTTTAACAGAAGGGGGTACTTTGGATGTGGGAAAGATGCCCAGGAAGGAATCAAAGGCTGGTGGTTCTGGGAGTCCCAGGGAAAATGTCCGTCTAACCCGGCTTGCTCACAGAGCCGCTTTGCAGCTTTGGACAGGACCTCTCTGTGGTTTAAGACATAGATAAATCAGACACTTTGGCTTATGCCTATGATCCCAGTAACTCCAGAGGCTGAGGAGGGAGAACAGCTTGAGAGCAGGAGTTTGAAATCAGCCTGGGCAACATAGTGAGATCCTGTATCTTACGACGCGTTAAACAACAGTTGGGTGTGGTGGCATGTGCCTGTAGTTACAGCTACTTTGGAGACTGAGGCAGGAGGATTGCTTGAGCTCAGGAGTTCAAGGCTGCAGTAAGCTATGATCATGCCAGGGCAACAGAGCATCACCCTGTCTCTAAACAAATATTAAA